ATGATTTTGTTTTCCTGGAATTTTGTTGCACTCCCAAGAAAACAAAATTCTTAATACTTCGCCATTGAATCAATCTCTATTGTGATTATCTCCCAGCTTACAAGTTTTCCACAATTTCCATTTCTACCCGATTAAATGACAAAAATCAATTATGGGAGACTGAGAGAGAAAATAGAGATTTGAAGGAAATAAGGGTAAAACAGATGTTTTTTTTTTTTTTTGTAGTTTAGGGGTGCAATTTTATCATTTATAAAAGTTTTAGGGTTTATTTTTTACTGCTAAATGTTCAAGGTTTAATTTTTTAACTTATCAAAGTTTGAGGGTTTAATTTTTACAATTAAAAATTTAGGGTTATAATTGCAACAACTACCATAATTTAGGGGTGATTTGTGCAATTTACCCTATTTTTTTAAATCTTTTTCACTAATTGTCCGACATTAATTTGAAGACATCTATTTATCAAAAAAGAAAAATTGAAGACATGTCCGACTTCAATTGTATAATTTTAGGACACATTTAGTTTATTGAATTGAAAAATATGTCCTTTTTTGGACCAAAAATATGTAAATAAGTTGTTTGACTGCAAAATCACTAATAACCAATTTCAGTGTAGAGATGTCAGATATATTTGAAAATTTCACTCCAAATTAGTTTAGAAAGGTTAGCTATTTAAAGATAAAGATTATGGTCTTATCAGCTTTAAGGGAGAGACTCTGCATTCGTTGGATGGTGTAAAATATACCGTGGATTTGGGCACTCTAGCCAAAACGAATCCTATTTCAGCTATTACCTTCTCCATTACTATGTTCTCATAAAAAAACAAATACATCATTAAAATTTTTATTAAAATTTTCAAAATCGAATTAAGCAATATAAGAAGAAACTGCTAAATTTGAATCGACTCGATTTAGATTGTAGCTATTGAGAGGGGAATAGAAGCATTTACATCAACCAAAAGCTAACATAATAACATCAACCGGGAGAGATGTGGCATTGAGGATCGTGTCGTTCCTCTCTACAACTCCAAAGAAAAGCCTGAACGAGTTGAACCCAAAGGATTTCTTCCCTCCTTTCAACACATTGAACATAACCAACCCATCAAAATGACAATAACCAACCCAATACTCTTCCAGATAGCAAGTAGAAATCATATTATAACGAACCTAGGTTAAGTTATAAACAATATATCTTTAATTCTCTTATCAACCTATTTGATAGCGCACCTATTCGTCTTCATTTCGAAAAGAATCACCAGAGGTTAGCCAAAGAAAATAGATAAAGGATAAGAGAGAAGAGACAAACATTGCAGACTGCATCTATTGGAACTACAGTACAACTTATCCAAAGTTTTATTACAATATTATTTGTGAATTTCGAGTAGTCCAAATGACAGATTGATCCAAACAAAATAGTTGTAACTACTCAAAAGTAACCAATCAAGTAGATTGCTATTAGAGAACTATGAGTCATAGGCCTCTCATTCTATACATTCATAGTAGAAGGAAGAAGGTTGGCTGTTAGCTGTTTAACTTGGTTGATGGTTTTTTTTGTTGGATAAGAAACTTTCCACGCCTTTCATAAATCAAAAAACAAAAGGTTACAACAAAAGGCTGGGGTAGAGGCAACCCTACCCAAAAAAAGCTAAACAAACTTTTTCCAATTGTTCGTGAACAAGGAAAGGTTGTAATTACAAAAGAATTTTCTATAATTAGTACACCACCAAGATGCAATGTGTTGTACGTTCCTACAAAAAATATCAAAAGGAGTAGTTCTATCCTCAAAAACTCAAGAATTCATTTCTAACCAAATGTGCCACAGAAGAGCTCTAGAGGCACACTTCTATATAAATTTTGCCTTTTTAGGGAGCATCCAACCATGGAGAACTTCTGAAAGCGAGTCATCTACTCGTTTTGACCTACGAGAAAATACCAGCCTCTGGCCGCAAATTGATAGTGAGTGAAAATATGATCAATATTTTCAGTACTTTTAATGCAAAGGCGGCACACCGAGGGAGAAATCAACCAATTGCTGCACTTCTTTTGGGTAAATCATGCATGTCAAGACTTCTATGAGCTAGAGATCATAGGAACACCTTAATCTTCTTAGGAGCTTTGAAACTCCAAACTATCGAAATAAGTGAGGATTTTAAAGAAGGGTTGCATTCCACCATTTATGCTCGGAACATAGTCTTTCAATGAAAGTCCTAATCGACTAACTCATAGGCCTCTCCGAAGTCTAACTCAAAGAATCTATCATTGAGTCTTGCTCCTTATCAACTCACCAGCTATTTCATTGGTAATAAGAATGGAGTTTATTGTTGGCCTGAAATCCCAGTCATGTCACCTTAGGGAATGAGGCAGATGATAATTTCCCCTTGGGGAATAAAAAGCAACTTAAAAGTAGCAAGATAAAAATGACAAAGAAATAGAATAAAATACGGTAACTTTCTACCTCCCAGGGTCACTAGTTATAAAATGCAAAAAAATAAATGGGTAAAGGGACATCAAAGGAAGAGAGAAATCATCACTATAGTATTACTTCATTGCTATCTAATTGGAGAGCTTTTTTTAAATCCCTCATGGTTTCCCTTTTGTATATAATTTCATATCATCGTGAAATTATTTCTTGTCAGAAGAAAAGAAAAGAAAAGGAAAAAAAAACTAAAATACTACAAACGTTAGAACAGTCCAGTGACGTTTATACGTTCAGAAACTGGCACGTGAGTATTATCACCAAGAATTTCAATCTTTTTTTTTTTGGATACGAGACGAATTTCATTGATAGCATCACATTACAAAAAATAACAAATCCTATCCAATGAAGTTACAAAAAACTTCTCCAATTAGATATAAGAGAGTTCAAGTTGTAGTTATTGGAAGGAGGTACATATTTACACCAAGATGAAGCCAAAAAAAAAAGGATAAAATCAATTAGTTGTTACCAAGAATTTCAATCTTCAATGGCTTCCCATCCAGTAACACATTGTTATAGCGCTTCTGAGCAGCAAATGCATCACTTCTACGAGTATATACCACCTCTGCCAAGCCCTTTAATGAACAATGGAAAGTTTATCAGCCAACTAAAGCTTGTTAAGAGAACCATCCATAATCCAATTAAGAACACATTTTAAGCCCAAGTACAACAATTATCATATTTGCGGATAAATTCCATGTCAACTTAAAAGAAACTAAATATGAATTAGGGGTGAACAAGTAAATCTAAAGAACTTACCAAACCAACGGGTTTAAACCTACATTCAGCAGAAGTTGGTTTTTGAATTCATAACATGTAATCTAGTATCAACAATATGAACTTAGCTCAGCTCAGTGGTAATTAACACCTATTTCTGACCAAAAGATCATGAGTTCGAATTCTCTCACTCCATTTTTGTGAGTCTATACTACAAAAATAACATTGATACTTGATATGGGAAAAACTAAAAAGCCAAACAGCAACACATTACTGGAAAGTTTTACAAAAAGATAGTGTAGGAACTTACACATGGACGGCCATTTTTGTCATAATGAATTGCAAATCTTTTCAGGTCTCCAACAGCAGAGAACAACTCCTGAGTTCACCGTAAGGTTACAAGAGAATATTAATCGAAATCATCTTTAGTCAAATATATATGGCTTAAGTTGTACCATTATGTCTTCTTTGGTCACCCCAAAATTCAAGTCGGAAACGTACAACTTTGTGCCAATTTCAATTCCAGAAATCCCTGAAGCTCTAAGACTGTCTTCAAGTAAATCATGCTGCCATTGAACATTCTTCATTCTGCGTGGGGGCTGATGAAAGCATGCTGATAAGAATCCAGATGGGGAAAACACATATCAGCTTATTAATCGACAATAATATAATTCTCCACTCTTGACAGTCCTTTGAAAGTTACCCATATAACCCACATGTATTCAATATTTGCAAAGATAATGGTACAAATACACCAGATGACGATTCCGACAAGAGAGTGAGCCGCAATGAGATTCTCCATAGAACAACAATTTTACTGATCATCTTCTTTTAGAGTTACTATAGTAATGTTATTTGAGATCCCCATGAGCATGTATTTTCAAGGAATATCAGGTTCTCAAGCATATATATGCATTAAATATCGACAGTTTAAAGCTAATTGAGCAAGCAGATGGTCGTGCATTTATGTTGAGATTACGAACCGACCCTATCACTACTCTTCCACCATTAAAAGACCCACCTGCTCCACGCCCACAACGGGCCCTACGTCGTGCTCTGAGCTTCTTACGGTTATTCTTCTTTATCACAGCCTCTCGTGAGATATCCACAGGCGTAGCCATTGGTTTGTATAAGAAGAAATAGAATGATAAAAAAAGAAGTCCTGCAGAAAGGTAAGATAAACATCACACGTTACTTGCATGGAAGTTAATAAATCAATACTTCATTTGATGTATCAAACTGTATTCAATATTACTTGAAAATTACCTCATCGTCCTACTCAACATCCATCTTCAACAAAAACATCCATCTTCAACAAAGCTCACCGGTAGAAAGGTGGTCTTCCATCACAGTTGTGAACAGTAAAAAAGTTTGGAGAAAAAAAAACTTCATAAATGATGGGGGCGCGTTTTTGACGGGAAAAAACGTTATTTTTCGGATTTTGTAAGTTTTATGACGGTTAAAAACTGTCATGAAAACCGAATTTGCAATGACAGTGAAAAATTGTCACAAAATGGTGGAGGCGCGATTTTGGCGGAAAAAAACGACAATTTACGAAAATTTTCATCTTTTATGACATTTTATAATTGTCAATAAAAATAAACAAATTTCAAGTATTCTGTGACAGTTACCTAAACCATCTTGAGAATCCACGACATACAAAAAGTGTCACAAATGATTTTAAGCACGTTTAATTTCAGTCGGAAAAACTGTAGTTTTATGGATGATATTAGTTACTCGGGATCCTCCGGTTGTATCGAGTATAGATTTATGATTAATAGTTTCCCCAAATACTCATGAAATAAGTAGAAAATTGTATTTGGTATAGTGATCTGCTTCTTACCATGCATAATTGTCCCCTTCCTACTCGGTCCCGAGTTTAGCCCAATGGACTTCAATTATGGACACACCAAACATCATCTTCCTCGTGCCGTTGTTCAAGATTCGTTACCTTGATGATCCAAATTCATATATTCAATTGCCAACGATACAAGAATTATGAGTTTTTTCCGATAAAAATTTTGTTTTTATATATTACCACTTTTGACGGGTTTTGAAATTTTGGGAGAGGTTTATATTCCGGACTATTTTAATATATAGTTGGACAAAGTTTATTCTTAATTTTTTTTTTAAATTACCACTCCCGACTATTTTTAGAAAAAAGTCGGCATAATACACTTTATACGAATATTTTAATAAATTGTTGGACGCTATTATTTTTAATTTTTTTGTTCAAATATTACAATTCTCGACTTTTTTGAGAAAGAGTCGAGAAAAGTGGAATTTCCTAATTATGGAGATATGTTATTTATAAAAGTATACTCTTGTTTTTAAATTAAAAAGTTTTAAAATTTTTGTTTTTTTAAAATAATGACCAAACTAAAGGTTTTTACAATTTCTTTAAATAGTAAATAAATTGCATTTTTCGCCCAGCCTCATTGCCATCACTGAGCTCCGTAGGTTTGTCGTTCGCAATCCCCCATATAGTTTAGAGATGAAATTGAAATGACTCTCTCCAATTAGATTGAAATTGTGACAGACTTTTGTAATGCCCCGACATTTAGAGTAGTGCGATCTCGAACTTTCGAGGAAGAAAGTTTTTTTTGGGTAGTTTGTAACGCCCCGCGTTCTTGATTTTTTCCTAAGCTGATATTTAAATTCTTATAGTTTCTAAATTTAGAGTTCTAATTTTGGATAAATTAAAATTAAGTTTAATTTTATCGAATTATGATAAATTAAGTTTTCAAATTTTTGGAAAGAGATCTTTAATTAAATCTTAATTCAAAGTTTTTGTAAATCAATTTTTCCTTTTTGATTTTATTATTGGTTTAACAAAAATGGATGAAGATTTACGCTATTGTTTAATGTCTTGAGTACATTATTTTGGTTTATTATTTCTTTTGGTAAAAAAAGAAAAGAAAGGAAAACGAAAAGGGAAAAAGAAAAAAAAATTAAAAGAAACCAAAACCCTACCTTCCCTTTCTCCTTCTTCTTCTCTCCCTCCCTCTTGTTGCAGCCGCCCAGCCCACCACTTTTCCCACAGCATCCGAACGACGTTTCTCCTCCCTCGGATTGCGACGCACAACCCTTGTTACGATTTGAATAAACCCCACTCCAAGTTCAAAAAGCAAGCTCATCGCACAATTCAAGGAAGCAGCTACAAGTATTTCTGGCTGCTTATTTGCAAGCCTCACTGTTTACAAATTTGATTTTCAGGTACTCGGTCTTCCGGTTCTCGTTTTTAAATTCGTCATTGTTTGGTTCTCCAGCTTGTCCGATTGGTTTAAGGTATTGGGTTAGCGGTTTTGGCAATTTCAATTGGTTTTATATGTGATGGGTTCATTGAGTTGTAGACATTATGTTGATTTTCGTACTTTTTCTGCCGCAATTTCCTGTTGTTTTAGTGATTCGCCAATCTTTTAGGTTGTTTTTTGCTTTTGGGTAATTGCCATACTCCGAAAAGAAAATTAATGAGTTGTCTCATTTAAGAATCTGACTCAAATTCATGATTGTTCTTGTAGCTTTCAGTGTGTAGTGGAGTTTATCAAGTAGGCCCTGAGGTCCTTCATCTTAACGAAGGGGGTAGTTCAGATATAGGGTTCTGCGAGTAGCACGGAAAATAAGAGTTGAAGCTGCTGTCAGTAAACATGTTGCATAACAAGTCGTTTGTGAAAAAAACGAAGTCTGTGAAGGTGATGAAGGTCGGTAAATCACTAATCTTGGGTCTAATTTTATACATCTCATTACTTTCCTTTTTTTTTAATCGTTACTTTTTTTTTAAGCTTGAGAATCCGGCTATTGATGACGTGGTTATGCTATCAGTTGTGCTGGACGAGATTAAGAACAAGAACTTGTCTATTTACAATAGAGTTAGAGCTCTCTGCAGTAATCCACTGAGGAGATTCTTTGTCTTCTCCAACAAGCATCACAAGTAGGTTCTTGATTACCCTTTCACTAATGCTGCCTTTGACAGTCATCTACGATTGATATTGTACTGTAAATTTAAAACATTTATCAATGTTATTTATTTATTTTTTGTTTTGACAATAGTATAAATTCACGCTTGGTTGGAGTTTGAAAATCTATCCTCTCTCATTATGTTTCTGAGTTACACGGGAATTCAGGATATTGCTATTTGCTAATATCAATCTATAATTAGAATCTGTGAAGTGTGAAGCCAATTAAGCAGTTGATTGTTGCTGCCTTTGGTTTGAACTTCAAACCTGTACGTAAATTGAGCAAGTGATTTTATGTACCTTGTGTAAAAATTGAAAGAAACAACCAATTACAAGAGCTTTTCTAGGGATGAGGCTGATTATGGTAATGGTTGAATGAGATGCGATGTTAAGGTTTTGGATAGAAAATGAACCCTCAACTCTAATACGCAGTGTTCCACTATAAATTTTTTTGTAATATCAGATGGCATGAAGTATTAAAATCTATATGAAAAAACATGCACTTTCATGGTGGATATATTTTTGAGCTTCCTTTAAATCATTGTTTTGGCAGGGATACATATGTTAAGGAGATGAGTGGAGAAAGTAAAAATGATCGAAATGATAGAGGTATTCTCTTGAAATTACGAGATCTGATGCTTTAGTGTTCATATGCTGAAGCTAAACTACATATATTTTTATTCATCCTCTCTTTACCACTTATACAATATTTACCTATGATACATATTCAAATACGTCCATCCATACTTACTTTCTAATTCATTGTTTACTGTAACTGTCAATCTATTTTGCATGTTTTCATAACTTTTTTTCCCCTAAAAGTTAATAACTGTGGGAAATACTTACTTAAATGATGTTGACTGTTATCTCCAACATTGTGATTCAGCAATTCGTGTGGCTACTCAGTGGTATCAGAAACACCTTGGTGGTGCAACTCGTGTTCTAGTCGTAATAAATGACAGAGAGAATAAGAGGAAGGCTATTGAAGAGGGAATTTATGCAGAGACAAGTATGTGTTGAGTGTTCTTTTGATGTCTTTATGTGTTGAGTGCTTGTAATGATTATACTCTTTTTTTTCCTCGTGTCATATACTTAGCTCACTTGGTTCTGAGAGTTTGTCTGTTTTCCCTAAGTTTTGGTTTTTATTTTGTCCACAGAGACAGATTTGGGGTTGGATTAATTCCAAGACTTCTACCACTAGGAGAGATATGCGTGGAGTTGTAAGAGCTGAAATGTTTGGTCAGTTGACAAGTGGCCTGGAGAGTGCTTAAAACAAGCTCAAAGAAGAAGGTCTGAATATCTTTATTCCTTTCAATCTGTTGCCTTATTTTAAGTTTGGTTTATATAGCTATGCTATACTTCAATGATCCAGAGAATAGCTTAATAGATGTTTTGGATTTGGTAAGAGAAATCAAATGATAATTAAATGACCTGTATATAATTCTCATACTGGAAGTACCCGAGTTGGTAAATGATAACTAACTTTAACTATTTGGCATTTAGAACAAAAGTATCCGTGCATCACGTCCCTTGCATGAGGTTATAATGACTGCTATCTCAATTTAGTAATGTGGTCTACCTGTAAGTATTTCCACGCTTATG